GAGAGAGAGAGAGATGGGTTCTCTAGTTAAGTGTGGCCCTCATTTCTGCGGAGCTCTTATAGCAACAATCTCTGGCTTCCTCACTTGTTTATTTGGGAGAGAGAAAAAGGGAGCGACAGGTTCTCCCTTTTGCAGCCTTCCAGATGATATTGTGATTGAGATCCTTGCTAAAATTCCTATGAAGTCCATCTGCAGGTTCCAGGCTGTAAGCAAATCATGGGAAAGTTTATTATCCTCTCATCACTTTGCAGTAGTCCACTCTATCTCAACATCCCAGTATTTCTCTCTCTTTCTCAAGTACAAAATTGATGGCACTCATGTGTTCTATGCTGATGCTCATAACAATACTAGTCCTTCAGCCTATAGAAAAACAGAGTTTCAGCAAGAAAATGTAAAATGGGTTGCCTGTAGTAATGGCCTAGTGTGCTGCCTCATGGAATCGAAAATGGGTTATTACTTGGCTATTGGGAACCCACTAATCCAGAGCGAACTTATACCTCTTACAATGCTTGAATTTCAACTGCATGATTATGGATTCTACTTTGACCCCATTAACCAAAACTTCAAGATATTGGTAAATGCTGATGCTTATATAGATCCAAGTACCAATGAGTCCATTGCCTTTTTGATCTTTGATTCATCAGTTGAGGAATGGAGATTGCCAAGAAATCTACCACAAATTCAGATAGATGCCCTGTGGATGGTAGTCTCTGTTGGTTCCTGTTGCTATGGATTTTCTTCGAAGGAGCCCGACGAGGAGATTCTAATGGCTTTTGATATGGAGAAAGAAGAATGGGAAATAATCCATACCCCAGTAACGATCAGAAACAATTGCTCTTACAAAATCCAAGAGAGGGATAATGAGCTTTGTCTAATACAAGTTACTAAACATTTGGGAGCCGAAGTTCAAGCAGATATTTGGGTTTTACATGACGAGAAAAAGTGGGTGCAAGTAATGAGAGCAGATTTGGATAAATCAGGGTTCAGTGTTTTGGATCGATTTGGTTTAGAACTCAATGATTTCCTATTGTTTCCTGATCTCTGGGTTGGTGAAACATTATTTTTGAGGATCCAGGTCAGACCAGAATTATCTCCTAGTACTTTGCCTTTGCATTACTGGAACATGCAGATAGCCTATGATAGAAAAAGTGGCATGTTCAGTGAATTGATTGTTCATCCGCATCTGATCGGTTGTTTTGTAATGCATCGTCCTACCCTTTTCATTTGCAAGTTGGAGAAAGACGACAAAATATGTATTAGGTAGGTTATAAACCATTTACATTTTGTTTTCTTTTGATATTGATTGTTTTTAAGAAATGTTTTTAGTGATTCAGCCTACTCCCTCCACCTTGATTTTCTGGGGTTTTACAACCCAAGACTCATCCCAATTCACTGCAAATACATTTCTGCCTAAATCCATGAGTTTTTAGCTCGAAGGAATATTGTAGATCTTATGTTCTTTGAATTATTGAAATGAATGGTCCAAGAAAAGGGTACAAGACGGATCCTTTTTATGGCTCAAATTCATTTTGTTTTCCTCAGATCATGATTGTGGGATAGAACTTATTCATCTTCAAGATGGATTTTGGAAGGAATGACGTGCTATGATGCTATGTTTAAATCTATTGAAGGGTATGATGAGTATAATATGCTGTGAGTCTTGTTGACTGCATTGAGTTGCTTGAACTTTGTTGTGTTTCTCTTTGCCTGGACAACTAGGCTTCATTTTAACCCACATCCTCAAGCTTGGAGCAGCAAGTGTATTCAGGTTGTGATATTGGCTGAAACATCATTGTGTTATGTTTAAGTACAATGGGAAGTTTACTAATAATGGAATTTGTTTGAGGTTGTTGAATTGTAGGTGACAAATGAATGATTATTACAATTATTAGTTGGCATTTCATTTGTTTGGTTGTGTTAGATTAATACATCAGAAAGGTATGTGGTTTGCTTTTCCATTATTTGACATCAACCTCTTACGTCAAAATGCTATGTGGATGAATGTCATAAATCTTGTTTGAGCCCGCTCTCTTAATCCCTCTATATTATTGGAAAGTTACCTTGGTTTCTTCCTTTTAAGTGTGTGTGTGTGTGTGCGTGCGTGTGTGTGTTTGCGTGCGTGTGTGTGCGCACGTGCTCATGCTTGTGTGTGCGCGTCTGACAATTCACTAAAAGCGGGACAAATGTACATCAAGTTCCACTTACCAGACTAATACTTCACAGTGGGAGAAAAGGGGATATGTGAGTGGAAAGCAAGAGGCAAGGAATGGGAAGGGGCAAAGACTAAGTGGTGACCTGAATGTCTGAAGAACTCAATCCAGCTTCTTCATTTGTTAATCTATCTGTTAATGCAAAAATCTCGTGAGTGTATCCACAATTTCCATGGAAACAGAGACACTTTCCCTGCCAAAGAAATTACATTGAGAGAATCGCCCTTATTCAACAGTCATAGAATGGCCTTCTTGTATAGCATCAGTGCAGTGAGGAGAGCAGATACCACAGCCATGGTGGACTTACAAAATCCCTTATGGGCCAGAGCTAGACATCCTCACACATCATGTAGTGTCTCTAGAAATGCCACCAAACACCAGCTGGGCCTCGTTTGCCCCTTTAAGCATAGTTGACTGACTAAACACTAGCAGAATCATCCCATTAATTATGAACCCAGAGTTACGTGAAGGATCAATAAAGTATTAGAAAAAAGTGGAATTAGAAAGTGGCCAGGATTACTACTCTACTTGAAGCTCCTTGTCATTGTTACAGGGATGATGATTTGAACAGCAAAATACCCTCTGAAGTATCACTAATATTCACTTAAAAGTATCTACCATGCCTGATGCGTCCATGCTGTCTATTTCTAACATTTTTCTCTGTCTGTTCCTTTCTTTCCCTAGGAAAATGACTTGTTACCTCAAGGATCCGTTTTGGGGTGATTCCTAGTGAAATGGAGCGATCAAGTGAATCTAGTGTGTTGTGATATATGTTGGCAGCACAAATATCCACTGAATTCTACATGATGATACATATGACGAATACATGGATGGGGATTGACAGTTTATATTTTTCTAGTACATATAATTATATAAACCATGCGCCTTCACTGGAACCAGCACTGATCATAAAGACCACTGTCCCTTTATTTGAACTAAATCTGTGCTCCTTATTACTAACTTTATTGATTATTCAAAAAGTTGTCAATTTTCAAAGAGTTCCCAAGCAAGCAAAGAGTCATCATGAACGTGGTACATTTTGGTCTCACTATGAACATCCAATGTAAATAGATGTTTATGCAGTACTAGGAGTCATCTTTATTGGCCATAATGACATTCCTCTCAAATCATTCTTATATTTTGGTTGTCACTATGAAAGTCTTGGATAATTATTGTTCATTTACTGCTGCTTCAACCAGCGTTTCTGAAATTGGCTGTAGTGACTCAGACTCGGCCGAGTTAGTCGGCCTCGGGCTATGGGCGAGGCTGAGTACTATGTACTGAGTTCTATATATATTTTTATTCACTACCTTATTCCTAGAACATCAAAGTGACTTTTGGCCATTGTGCATGTCTCGGTTGCCTCACATCGGGAGTTCAAATCCTCCCGATGAGATGATTTTTTATTATTATAATTAGATACCTTTCTTATTTTTTTTAAAAAAATAAAAAAATTATTAAAAAACTACACAGTTACAAAGTGACGTGCAAGAGGCAGGATTCGATGCCTGAACCTCTTTTTGAGGCACCACAACGTTAATACCAATACGCTACTTCGTTATTCATGATAGATATCGGCATCTTATTATATATAAACCTTATTAAGTTTATTATTCCCTCTTTTTTTTAAGCATGACCTGAACTCGGCTGAGTGACTCGCATTGGCCAAGGTCCGAGTACCTTGGCCGAGTCGATTTTCTAAACACTAGCTTCTATTATGGAACACCATCAACAAGGGATATGATAATGTGATCTCATTTTCCGCACGAAGTCATGACATGATAAGTATAGGTCAGTTGTGGACATTTAATTAAAGAGAATGTATACTATCAGACCATTTATTTTTATTATAAGGAGGTCACAATTGCTATTAGCCATTAGATGTCAAATTGGATGGCTTGGGGTGTGTCACAAAGTTCGAAAAAACTGTTTTTGAACTTTTATTTAAGTCAATGACACACTCATAACGACTGAATTTGAAATTTGACGGACAAGAGTGATTATGACCTCTTTGTATTAAAGTAATTATATAAGCTTTTTCTTAAATAAATCATTTTAAACATAAACCCCTCCACCATCTTAAACATGAGAAATGGGAATATCATCAATAGGAAAAATCATGTCTTTTTTATACAATCAAATATTCTGTTTCACTTGCGAATTGATTTTATGCAAGTTCTTATTTGGATTCCTCTTTTTTGTCTCACCAGTGGGAGATGCTGTGAAGCCATTCGAGAGGGAAGTGGATTTGAAGCTTTCTCATCAATTCCCCATGCTTTGAAAAGAACATGAATGCTTATGCCATTAGTGCTTTTGCTTCAATGAGCCTTTTAAGCTCAATCATTCTGGTGGTGATGATTGACTCACATGAGGCCGTAAGACTCTTCATGTGGGTAAGGTCAGGCTTGTTTCTTTTGCAAGCTTCATCTGGTCTATGCTTTGGAGAGAGAGAGAGAGAAAGAGAGAGAGAGAGAGAGAGAGAGAGAGAGAGAGAGTATTTAC